TCTTATGAGACTAAACTAGTTGAAACTGTATGAGATTTATCCAACTATAAATGTCTGCCTGGGGTTGTCTGTGGCAAAGTGGTCAGACCATTTGCTTTTTTTCTTAGAAAGCTGTGTTCATGGTGAGTCTGTTTCTTCTTCTTCTTCACGTTCACCAGCTGTACACTCTGGTGGAAAGTTCTGATTGTTCGGCCACTTCTGAACTGCAGTCCTGTTCCAGAACCGGAGTGTTGCATGTGCATCAGTTTTACAGATCTGATTCAATTGAATGCAGACTATTGGTTCTTTGCCTCTCAGGCAGATGCACTCCGACTTCAAAGGAAGCTGTCCAATTAGTTGACTCCTACGACATGCTTTTGGGTAGGCAGAGGGTCTATTCTTGTTTTCCCCACGATGGGGCCCCGGAACCCACACGGGGAGTGAGTCTGTTTGATTCCTGGGTGCAGTCCTGATGGTATTTCTGAGGATTGTTATTAGAGCCAGAGCCTATGCTCTATGAGATTGTCTCAGTTAACCGATCTGCACAGAAAAACTGGGACAGGTACATGGAAGTCCACCTGCTCCCCTTTACTTTTTTTTTTTTTTAATCGCCATTGTGTATGATTTTTAAATGGCAGCACAGCAGTTTAAAACTCTAAGAGATTATTACAGTTTGAAGGGGTTTCTGTGGGGAAGGGTCAAGTCGTTTGCTGAGATCCCTCAGGATCGTTGCTGGAGCTATGATGTTTGCTTGATGCTCTCAGTAAGAGGCACGCCCTTCTGCGGAAAGAGACCGAGTTATATTGGATAAAACCCAGTGTAATAAAGTTGACTCTCTCAACTTTAACCTTTGATGGACTGTATGTTTTGTGTATTTCGATGTAAATTTGTGCTACACTGTGTTTTATCAAATTATATAACATGCGCCTAATGCAGCGGCCCTCAACCTGTGGGTCGCCACTATTTTGGGGATCGATTGACCCTTTCACAGGGTGTCACCTAAGACCTTAAGAAAATATATATTCACTGAAGTTATGAAGTAGCAATGAAAATAATTTTATGGTTGGGGCTCACCACAACATGAGGAACTGTATTAAAGGGTCACGGCACTAGAAAGGTTGAGAACCACTGGTCTAATAAGACACTGAAATATGCCAGGTATTACATTTTGCAGGCTGCATGCTTTTAAATAATATTAAAGTAAGATAAAAAAAGAAATATGCCTACCCACTAGTTGTTCAATTATATATTAGCACATCAGTAGATCTAGATCTTCACTTTTAGATTGGCATGTTCTTTGCAACACTTGCATGGTGTTTCTATTGTGGTTGACCATTACTGTGAAATTAAGAAATTATGGTGCTTTATTAATATCCTACCCCAAACAGGGGAAATCCAGAGGTCATGGGACAGTCTAATATTTCAGGGGGTGGTAGCTAGGCTGCAAGCAGTGCTGGGACCTAGGCTGCATGCAGTCGTGGGACCTAGGCTTCACTCTCTCGTGGGTTGGGGTTAGGGCCAGTTCTAGATGTTTTGGGGTCGTTAAAAGCATCAGAAAGCCGGGAAACCTAGTTTTACCACCCTCTTAAATGTTGGACTGTCCTGTGACGTCATCTGGGGTAGCATATTAATAAAGAACCGAAATTATATATGTATATTTGCTTGTATGGGAGTTAAGATTTTTAAAATAAAACTATACATGGGTCATTGTGTACATGCACCTGTGCAACTGAGAGAGAGAGAGAGAGAGAGAGAGAGAGAGAGAGACATGATCATCACATCATGTTCTCCTGAATGATATAATTCTGCACTGAGAAGTCATAATCTGACTATGTGTGGAAAGTTTTTGCCTTCTCACAGTGTGACCAAATAATGTATATTGTCTCCGTCTGATAAAGTCATACAAACCCCAGTGTTATGTAGTGACTGTGCAACATGTGAGCTGTTTGGTATAGATTATAGTTGTTCAAATTTAGTGTTGTGACTGTGCAACATGTGAGCTGTTTGGTATAGATTATAGTTGTTCAAATTTAGTGTTGTGACTGTGCAACCATATGAGCTGTTTGGTACAGATTATAGTTGTTCAAATTTAGTTTTGTGACTGTGTAACATGTGAGCTGTTTGGTATAGATTATAGTTGTTCAAATTTAGTGTTTTGACTGTGCAACCATATGAGCTGTTTGGTACAGATTATAGTTGTTCAAATTTAGTTTTGTGACTGTGCAACATGTGAGCTGTTTGGTATAGATTATAGTTGTTCAAATTTAGTGTTGTGACTGTGCAACATGTGAGCTGTTTGGTATAGATTATAGTTGTTCAAATTTAGTGTTTTGACTGTGCAACCATATGAGCTGTTTGGTACAGATTATAGTTGTTCAAATTTAGTTTTGTGACTGTGTAACATGTGAGCTGTTTGGTTTAGATTATAGTTCAAATTTAGTGTTGTGACTGTGCAACATGTGAGCTGTTTGGTATAGATTATAGTTGTTCAAATTTAGTGTTGTGACTGTGCAACATGTGAGCTGTTTGGTATAGATTATAGTTGTTCAAATTTAGTGTTGTGACTGTGCAACATGTGAGCTGTTTGGTATAGATTATAGTTGTTCAAATTTAGTGTTGTGACTGTGCAACATGTGAGCTGTTTGGTATAGATTATAGTTGTTCAAATTTAGTGTTGTGACTGTGCAACATGTGAGCTGTTTGGTATAGATTATAGTTGTTCAAATTTAGTGTTGTGACTGTGCAACATGTGAGCTGTTTGGTATAGATTATAGTTGTTCAAATTTAGTGTTGTGACTGTGCAACATGTGAGCTGTTTGGTATAGATTATAGTTGTTCAAATTTAGTGTTGTGACTGTGCAACATGTGAGCTGTTTGGTATAGATTATAGTTGTTCAAATTTAGTGTTGTGACTGTGCAACATGTGAGCTGTTTGGTATAGATTATAGTTGTTCAAATTTAGTGTTGTGACTGTGCAGCATGTGAGCTGTTTGGTATAGATTATAATCATACAGATCTAGTGTTGGGGCTGTACAACATGTGAGCTGTTTGGTATAGATTATCGTTGTACAAATTTAGTGTTGTGACTGTGCAACATGTGAGCTGTTTGGTATAGATTATAATCATACAGATCTAGTGTTGGGGCTGTACAACATGTGAGCTGTTTGGTATAGATTATCGTTGTACAAATTTAGTGTTGTGACTGTGCAACATGTGAGCTGTTTGGTATAGATTATAATCATACAGATCTAGTGTTGTGACTGTGCAACATGTGAGCTGTTTGGTATAGATTATAATCATACAGATCTAGTGTTGTGACTGTGCAACATGTGAGTTGTTTGGTATAGATTATAGTTGTTCAAATTTAGTGTTGTGACTGTGCAACATATGAGCTGTTTGGTACAGATTATAGTTGTTCAAATTTAGTGTTGTGACTGTGCAACATATGAGCTGTTTGTTATAGATTATAGTTGTTCAAATTTAATGTTGTGACTGTGCAACATATGAGTTGTTTGGTACAGATTATAGTTGTTCAAATTTATAGTGTTGTGACTGCAAAATACAAGCTGTTTGGTATATATTATAGTTGTTCAAATTTAGTGTTGTGACTGCAACATGTGAGCTGTTTGGTTCAGATTATAGTTGTTCAAATTCAATGTTGTTACTGTGCAACATATGAGCTGTTTGGTATAGATTATATTCATAAAAATCTAGTGTTGTGACTATAAAATATAAGCTGTTTGGTATGGATTATAGTTGTTTAAATTTAGTGTTGTGATTGTGCAACATATGAGCTGTTTGGTATAGATTATAGTCAAAACAGATCTTGTGTTGTGACTACAACATGTGAGCTATTTGGTGCAGACTGAAATGATACAAAATCAATTGTTGTTATTGTTTAGCAGATGAGCTTTCTGGTACAGATTATAATCATGCAAAATTCATTGTTTTAACTATTGTGACTGTACAACATATGAGTTGTTTGGTATAGATGTTTTAGTCATTGTAGTATTCAGCAAATTAGTTGTTGGTCTATACTGTGGTAAACAACATTTGGTAGTTGTAACAAATTCGGTCTTGTAACCCTTGTGACTGTTCAGCATATGAATTGCTTGGTATAGATTCTAGTCAATAAAATTTGCTTTAATATTCATTGCTGCTGTTAAAACTGTGCGTTACTTGGTAGAGATTCCAGCCAAGAAAAATTAGTTTTAAGCTCAGGATGTTTTGCTAACAAATGTTTTTTTTGTTAATGATTGCTGAGGTTTTTTAATCTTCTAAAAATAGTTTCACTCTATTTTTTTGGTCTCTTTGATTATATGATAGTGATGTTTTACTGTATATGTTAATCCTTGTGTAATATACATTTAAACATAGTAAATAGATAACTGATGTTACTGCTGGTGTGTGACAGAGAGTCGGGTGGGGGGGGGGGGGGGGGGATTAATAGAAGAGAAAGACAGAGAAAAGGGGGATGTACAGAGGTAGAGTGAGCTGATCAGACAGCCAGCAACAGCTGGTGACCCTATGAGGCGGGGTATTATGGGACTATGATGATTATCATGATGATGAGAGGATACTGAAAAATACATTTCTAAAAAAAAAAAGGAATGCATAGTTTTTATCAGTTGATGGGGATGCCTGTACACCTAAAAACTATCGATGACCCAGATGTAGAAGAACTGTTAGTTGAATTTTAAAACCCTAAGGTATTCTTATGTGCAATAATTTCAAAGTTTCACTCCTTGAATTACAAAGATTTTGAATATAAGAATTATGTTCCTTTCAGCAGCTGTGGATTTCTAAGTTTTAAAAAAAAAATTGTTAAATAGTAAAGATACTGATTTTCCTCTCAGGATTCAAGGTCTGGCACTAGAATGTGACATCTTTATATTGTAAGATTGTAGAAATCTTATTGTAAAGATGCCATGACAGTCTGACAGCTTAACATGACACCTTTCATTGTGAGATCTAGACTGTGATTCCTGAATGAAATCTGTTTAATTTATTTCCCACTATAGGCTCAACTACATGTCCAGGCTTCCCACGACCCCAGTCTGACAGAAGAGAGGGTGGGTTTGTTAGGAGATGAGCAAGCCAGTCGCGCTGGACAGCACACGAAGCTAGGGTGAGTAATCCTGTAGTTTGTAACCACTTTCTTTCATGTCTCTCACTTCTTCTTTCACTGTTGGACATGTAAGTTTGACTACTGTGTCGACTTGCTAAGTTGTCTTCTCTATGTAGCCAAATGCCATTCTCATAAAGAAGCTAGATTTGAGTTTGATTGTAAGTCACAAAAGTTTGTAGAGAACAGTAATGGAGGGGTATATGCCTGGGAAGAGAGGAAGAGGAAGGTCAAAGAGAAGATGGGTACAGGATGTGGCGGATGATCTCCAAATGGGTGTATCAGAAGCAGAACATCTTGCTTGTGATCGAGAAGTTTTCCGGAGGGTTGTTATGGGTGCAAGGTTCTGCAAAGGACATGCTACTGACTGGCTGTACATTTTTGGTTGACATTGAGAGCAACAGTTAAGATGGTTTGAACATCCAATGAGAATGTGCAGGCGACAACTGCCACACTGAGAAACATAATGAATACTGAGCAAGGGGAAGACCAAGCAGAATGTGGAGTGATGGCATTAAGAACAGTCTAAAAAAAGATAAAGATACACTTATATAACACAAAAGAAAGAGCGCACGAAAGATTCTAATAGCCCTTGCCTTGTGCCAAAGAAAACTACACAGAATATCGCTACTATCACTGGTGAAATAATTTAATTGAAACATACTAATTATAAAACTGCATTCCTAACCCTAGAGCCACAGATACTGATATTAGGTAACAAAATATAGATCATTTTATGTACAATTATTGTTCTGTGAAAATGTCTCCTCATGTTTGATTGTGTGTGTCTGTTTCTCCCATTCAGGTTTGTGGCCGGTGTGATCTTGAGGGAAAGAATTCCGTCATTTGAGGTGATGTTGTGGAGGATCTGTCGAGGTAATGTCTTTCTTCGACAAGCTGAAATTGACACTCCGTTGGAAGATCCTGTCACTGTAAGTTTACTGAATACCATTTTGACTTTGCTGCTTGCAAACCATTGTTTTCCTTTATTAGATTTGCCTCTAAATCCATTGGATGTTTTGTCAAGCATGCTTCTTGAGACAGAATACACATGTTGATTCATATAACCACTCGTCTTATGTTTTTTATTTAACCTATTACCAAATTGTTTCAATCATTGTGGCATCATTTGATTAACAGACTTTTTTTCTTTTTCTTCTTAACCCCGCCACCTCAAGAAGGCTAAATCTAGCCACTTCCGGTATTGACACAACCCGTAAATGCTAGTATATCGCCATTTCTGTAGTGACCTGCTCTTGAAAAGCATAGTTAAATGACGTTAGTTATGTCTGTAGTATTTATGATGCCCGGATGTAGATATATTAACAAAATATAGCATTAAGATAGGTTTCCTTGCAAATCCAGTAGCTTTTTTTTAAAATCGAGGTTGACTTAAAATGATCACGAGGTCATGGCTTGAGTCACCTGATACATATTTATTTTAGACCCCGGGGTATGTATTAAGTTTTCTGCTTCATTTTCTTCTTGTTTATTAATTACTCCCTTTGTATGTGGATATATATTTCAAAACAGAAATTTTGAAAGTGTACATAAATAAATAATAAACAAAAGACAATTTATTAGTTGCCTTTGTTAAATATGTTTCTAAATGATATTTTCATAAATTGCCGTGAGTTTATGACCCCTATCCCCCCACCCCCACCCCACCCCACCTTTATTTAAGCATTTGCTATCTGAAAGGATAAAAGTCTATATCATGTGTCATTGAACATTGTATCTGTCCACAGCCTTCTGTCAGAAGTACTGCTAATCGTTTTTAATATGGATGTCTCTAAATGCCATAATGCCATGCTTTCTTGGTCTCCCACCTGCCTCTCTTGCCCTCCAACATCCCTGTTGTCACAATTGGTTTCATTAGTTGGCACCATTCCAGACAGTAGTTCCAATGTTTTGCTGTAGGGAAACATGGGAATCACAATGTCAAACTAGCATCCTGTTCCCACAAATTTATCTCAGTACTTATATATTTGCTGTCCCGCTTGCACATATCGTCACCATGTACTGCACATGTTTAATTTACATAATATGTAATGTAGTATATGATTTTATATACCCTTTTGTTGATACCCACTTTGGCAAGGACGGCTCTCTGATGGATGGCATATTGGGAAAAAAGGAGATATGGACAGCCTAAGGAAACCTGGAGAAGGACAGTAAAAAAGGGAAATAATGTAACAATGATTATGTATACTTTAATTAAGAAAAACAGTAGACCAGCAGTAATGGAGATCACTTGTGAATGCTTACTTACTCACTTAGTCGCTCCTCTTCTACCTTTTGGTGTAGAGGTTTGCCAGAGAGATCACCAGATGTCTCTATCAGCAGTGCTTTTAACTTGTGAATGCATTAGTGTTAACAGTGGCATGAAAAGAATAAAATATACTGTTGATGCCATGTATTGTTTAGGTTGTATGTGCCCTAAAACAGTGTGAGTGCATGTGAACTGAAGTAGTCATCATTTTTCTACAGGGAGACAGTGTGCACAAGTCTGTGTTCATTATCTTTTTTCAAGGTGACCAGCTGAAAAGTCGCATCAAGAAAATCTGTGAAGGGTAGGTTTGTTTCTACTCTTCTTCTTAGAGTTCTGCAGCTGTAAACTCTGATGGAAAGTTCTGGTTGTTTGTTCACTTCTCGACTTTGGTCTTGTTCCAGAACTTAAATTTTGCATGCACATCCGTTTTATGGGAGTCCCTGTGGCGGAGCGGCTAGACGCTCACCGCGGATCGGAAGGTTGTGGGTTCGCTCCGTGGCGGAGCCGAACTTATTTCAAAAATGACCTTGACTCCCAGGTCGACCCAGCCTTAAGTGGGTACCGGGTGCAGTACCAGGAAGTAGAGGTGGCTGGTGTGATACTGACCACACCACCCATCTTGTGCCATTGGTCTGTAAAAATATAGGTCTAGTCCTATATGTCTTATACGTGAAAGGGTCCTTTACTTTTTTTACATCTGTTTTATAGATCTGGTTTACTTTGCATTCAGACTGTTGGTTCCTTGCTTCTCGGGCAGATGCGCTCCTACCTCGGATTAAAAATCCCTAATTGGATTCTTATCTTTAATGACATTTTACTTTTTCTTTGAGTTTTGTATAATTCTTATTCTTAAAGTCAATGCTGTGTGGCTTTGGCAGTCATGTCTATTTACAATCTTGTGTACTTTCAGTCAACTCTGTTACAGATGATCCTCTATGCAATGATGTCAAACTGTCACCTCTCTTCTCCTCCAACTTTTCTACTGTCCCGATGTGCTCCAGTTTTCTCCTTCTCATTATATGACCACAGAGTGTAAATTATCTTTTTCTGATGTGGGTAATCAGTTCTCTCCATGAGTTAGTTTCTTTCAGGGCATCTTCATTACTGTTTTTATCTGTCCAGGGTATTCTCATCATTCGTCTGTAAATCCACATCTCTGCAGCTTCCAAACAAGTTTTCACTAATCTACCAACTGTCCATGATTCACTTTCATATATCAAGATAAGATTTATATAGCTTTTAAACATCCTCTTTCTGTCACAATTGAAAAAGAAAGATTGCATAAAATATTCTTAATTTGGCAAATTGCCACCTTTGCTTGAGCTATTCTACATTAAACTTTCATAATACAACTTCCATCTGGTGTTATCAGAGTACCAAAGTACTTAATAATACTTTGTATTATTAGAATAAGATAACAATTATTAAATCCTTTTCTAGTCAGTTACATTCCTAAGAAATGTACAGTTTCTACATGTATGAGTAGTTTTGTATGTGTACACATATTCTTCTTCTGCGTTTATCCAAAAACATGAACACATTGTGGCCATTTGAAACATGGCTGCAATATTTGCGCCTTTCTGCCGACACATCCTACTTCTGCAGGCATTCGTTGCCCGGGTTAGCTGTCGCGGGTGTATATGTATGAGCAGTTAGGTATTTGTTCATGTATGTCACGTAACATATGCAGTCTGTGCTGGGTGATCAGTGTTGGGTTATTCTGACTTCTTCTTAATGATTGGCTCATCGTAATTAATGTGCAAATAATGAGTGCAGGAAATGTCTGAGTATTAGACAAACTTACCTTCCATTTCTTCCTCATTATTCTCCCCCACCCCCTTCCCCCCCCCCCCCCCCTTGAGGAGCATAGGCCCTTAACCCTTTTCCCCTGTGAATTACAACAAAATGGGTCATGGATCATAGGAAATTTCTGTACAAAATCCTTTAAAAAGCCTGTTTTACACAGGTTTTAAAGTGTATTCATATACATTTGTAAAATTATTGTTTCGAAATATATAAAGAGCTATAAAGGGAGTAATCAATCAACAAGAACAGAGTGAAGCATTAAATGAATTAGCATTCACCAGAGCCTAAAACAAGTGTAAATCGGATGACATGCCTGACCCCGTGGCACACATTGAACCAATGGCATTAAACTCCACTTTTAGAGAACAAGTCATCCTCTGTTTGTGGCGCAGTGATTTATGTCACAGGCATGAGGGGAAGTTAAGTCCAACATGATGTGTATAAGGAGATACTCCGTATGTCACTCGGGCGCCAGTCCTTCACTGTTCTGGTTTTACGGAACCTCACACAAGACCCCTGCAGCACGTCCTCGTCGTGCGCCACGGATAATGTCTCAAATGAGCATTAACAGAGCTGTCAGGGGATCTCGGAGTTTGGCGACCACCAGAGGTGATGTGTCCATGTGGCTCTTATCAGCCCGCCCCCAAACACTTGGGTGAAAAAGGTTATCAAACTCATTAGGAACATGAGTATTCTTGCCAAACGTACAGCTAAAATCACAACCCTTGGTTAAAAGATTGTGTAGTGAAGAGAACATTGTTCACTGTACATCCTCTGTTAACCCTCAATGTCGTCGTCACCGCGCTGAGGTACACCACAACAGCAACCATCCATAGGCTGGCCATCCATGTACATCCTCTGTTAACCCTCAGTGTCGTCGTCACCGCGCTGAGGTACACCACAACAGCAACCATCCATAGGCTGGCCATCCATGTACATCCTCGGTTAACCCTCTGTGTCGTCATCACCGCGCTGAGGTACACCACAACAGCAACAGCCCATTGGCTGGCTAAGCCTAAATGTCCGACAAAACTAGATCCTACGGCACACAAATAAGCTCAAAATCTGACCATCACAATTTGTATTGAACGAAAAAAGACCAAATGTCCACACCCAAAGACCTCACTCGCCCGAGTGTTGGGACCAAACTGATAACGATATGCCTGACGCAGGATGTAAAATTCTGTTGGGCTAACGGCTCGTCAAAGAAATCTAACGTGTGAAGAAAAAAGAATGTACCTATTCGGGTGGTCACAAAAGTCCAAAACCCACAGGCTGCTCCCCGCTGACTTCTAGAGGGCACAGCCCTTGTCGAGCGGGAAGCCTAATACGGTTGTGAGGTTAAGCAGGCATGTGCAGGACGTGACGATTCCTTGGGTGAGCCTAGAACCAGAGCGCCATGTGCCGGCTCTGCATACATGAAAGCCTCCTTGGATGGCGGGGAATGCCCATGATCTGCCCCTGCCTTCCCTTGAGGGCTAACTGTTCCACAGGGGGCTGCCCCAAAGGGGTATTCCGGGGGCAATACCTGCGGAGAAGGAGACAAAGTGGACACCACACAAAACAATGGCCACAGTCATCCTAGAAATAGGCCTGACGTCTTCCTTCGAAGTCGGAGTACAGCTGCCCATGAGGCAGGGAACAGTAAAACAGTTGTACACGCAAAAATCAGGTCCAGGTGAAAGCCAAAAGTCCAAGCGGACGATTAACCTTTACCTTCCGCCGGAATTAATAGCCGGTGAACGATTAAAAAAAAAAAAAAATCCTCTGTTTATATTATTACCATGGTATCATTACAGTTATTTCAGTGTTTAAAATGAGGAGATAGTATAAGTTGTGTGAATGTTGGTAGTAACCACTCATAATTGATTGTTTGTGTGCAGGTATCGGGCCACACTATACCCATGTCCTGAGACTCAGGCAGAGAGGAGAGAAATGGCCATAGGAGTCATGACAAGGATAGAGGATCTCAATACAGTCAGTAGTTGTTGTTTTGTGCTTCTTTCTTATGTGTACTTAAGGATAGGCAGATCACTGATTACTGCAGAGGAACTGGCAGAGAAGGACGAGGTGAGAAGATTCTTGACTGTCAGGGCATGTAGGGGTGTCATCCCATGATCTGATACATCATGCTGTTGAAGATCGCAGATTCTGGGGAAGCATGGTCGCCCTTGCCAGTCGACATGGCACCTGAAGATGATGCTTAATGGGATTCTTCTTCTTCTTCTTCTTGTTTTTCTCCTCCTCCTCCACCTTCTGCATTTACCCTCTGAAGGGTAGTTGACATTTTGTGTTGTGGTTTGCGGCTAAGCTTCAAGGTCCAATACATCTGATCTCAGCAAATTTGTAATTAATCACCTTTTACGATATGCTTGGCAATGGGGCAATAAGTTCTGTTCTATTTTTTGTTTTTATTTCTTTAAAAAAATTTGTAATGCAAAAATGGGCGTCCCGTAACCCAAATGGGGAGGTATGTATGTACATCAAAGTGCAGAATGCCTGATAAATATTCAGCATTGATTGGTCTTTGAAACCTTATCGTTTTTTATTTCAGGTTCTCAGTCAGACGCAGGATCATCGTCACCGTGTCCTGGTGGCAGCAGCCAAAAACATCAAAGTCTGGTTCATCAAAGTCAGAAAGATCAAGGCCATCTACCACACCCTGAACATGTTCAACCTGGACGTGACACAGAAGTGTTTAATTGCCGAGTGTTGGTGTCCGGTGACAGATCTAGACAGAATTCAGCAGGCACTTAGAAGAGGAACTGTATGTTATTTTGCGTTTTGGGTTTTAGTATGATAAGCCTTCTGCTGCCTTTTGCTCCCCAATGTATTCTTTTGTAACTCCTTTCTTTTGTTGTTGTTTTTTTTTTTTTCAAGATCTTGTGTCTCATTCATTTACTGCATTTACCCACTCTTCCTTATTATTATTTTAACTCATTCTAATTTATAGAATTATTATTTTAATTACTTTAGATGTAGTGTTGATTAATTTAAGGCAACAGTTTCTTCATAAAAACGAGTTAAACTAACTCTGTGGAACTTGAAGAGTTGGGAGCAGCCATGCTGTTGTGGCTAGATCCCCACCAGCAGAGTGGAAGGTTATGGATTCAGTTTTATTTTGTCAGAAATCACCTTGGCTCCCAGGTCAACCCAGCCTTAATTGGGTACCTGGTACAGTCCTGATGTTGACCACATCATCCCCCGAGTGCCAGTTGGTCCATAAAATAAGGTCTAGCCCTGTATGCCCAATATGCCTGAAGGCTTGGAAAGGTATCCTTTTATTTACTTCCTTAAAGAGTTCAGAGTTAATTGTGGGTACCACCAGCAAGCCTTTTTTTTTTTTTTTTTTTTTTAAAGTATCCAGAAACCATGAGTTTCAAACCCTTTGTCTCGGTAATATGGAAATCGCAACCCTTCGGCCTTGATTCCATTATAGGTACCGTAAATCTGGGAGAAATGTGGCTTTTCTGCCTACCCCGGGGAGTGAACCAGGACTACAAGGAGTTTGTAACCCAGCCGCGGCAAAGTCAGCTTTAACCAACTATGCTAGCGAGCCGGGCACCAGCAAGGCTAACCTGGGCAACAAAAGCCTGACGACGTCAGATAGGTCAGCCAGAAAGAACATATATTTCCGCCATGCCGTAAATAGATTGATTGATTGAATGGTTGATTGATGTAAACGCCATGGTGTTTGTGTCCACAGGAGCGCAGCGGAAGCAGTGTTCCCTCCATCATTAACCGCATGGTGACCCGCATGATTCCCCCAACCTACAACCGATGTAACAAGTTTACTCAAGGCTTTCAGAACATAGTTGATGCTTATGGTGTGTCCAGATATAGGGAGGTGAACCCAGGTGAGAGTATCTTCACAGGCTGTTGTGCTACGATAGACTTAATGGCTGGCATTAAACTGCCACCCCACCCCATGTGATTCCTGGGCCCCATTCTTGTGGGGAAAGGGGGTGGGGAGAATATGCCCACAGCGCCCCTAACAAGCATGCTGTAAAAAATGACTGATTAGGGCTGTTTCCTTCAGAGTTGAAGTGCATCTGCCTGAGAGTCAAGGAACCAACACTTGCATGCACATAAGCTAGATGTGTAAAACAGATGCGCATGCAGAACTCAAGTTCTGGAATGAGACCTAAGTCCAGAGTTGAATGAACTACCAGAACTTTCTCCAGCTGGCAAATGCTAATAAGAGGAAACTGGGTCATTGTAGTCATATGATTGATAGTGACATTCTTGAAACATCAGCACTTATTCTCGTAGCATCAGAACTTTATCATTGGTCTTTTCTTGTAGCGTCAGAACTTTATCATTGCTCTTTTCTTGTAGCCTCAGAACTTTATCTTTGGTCTTTTCTTGTAGAGTAAAAACTTTATCATTGGTCTTTTCTTGTAACGTCAGAACTTTATATTCGTCTTTTCTTGTAGCATCAGAACTTTATCATTGTTCTTTTCTTGTAGCATCAGAACCTTATAATGGTCTTTTCTTGTAGCGTCAGAACTTTATCATTGGTCTTTTCTTGTAGCGTCAGAACTTTCTCTTGGGTCTTTGCTTGTAGCGTCAGAACTTTATTATTGATCTTTTGTTGTAGCATCAGAACTTTATCATTGGTCTTTTGTTGTAGCGTCAGAATTTTATCATGGGTCTTTTCTTGTAGTGTCAGAACTTTATCATTGGTCTTTTCTTGTAGCGTCAGAACTTTATTATTGGTCTTTTCTTGTAGCATCAGAACTTTATCATTAGTCTTTTCTTGTAGCGTCAGAATTTTATCATTGTTCTTTTCTTGTAGTGTCAGAACTTTATCATTGGTCTTTTCTTGTAGCGTCAGAACTTTATCATTAGTCTTTTCTTGTAGCGTCAGAATTTTATCATTGTTCTTTTCTTGTAGCGTTAGAACTTTATCATTGGTCTTTTCTTGTAACGTCAGAACTTTATCATTGTTCTTTTCTTGTAGTGTCAGAACTTTATCATTGGTCTTTTCTTGTAGTGTCAGAACTTTATCATTGTTCTTTTCTTGTAGCGTTAGAACTTTATCATTGTTCTTTTCTTGTAGTGTCAGAACTTTATCATTGGTCTTTTCTTGTAGCGTCAGAACTTTATCATTGGTCTTTTCTTGAATAAATCTTCTATTTTCAGCAATCTTTGTACTTATTGTGAACAAACTAGTTTGGTTTCTCATTTGAATTGATATTTTGTCATATTTCTGTAGCTTCCTGCCATTCACTTGATTTACTTTTTTGTGTGTCTCACCATCCCAGAATTCCTACGGTCTGTTTGTGTATGTCTATCTCATCTGACCTGTATGGTTTTTCTGAAATTGTTTTAACCTTTAGATGAATTTATGTAAATTGTGTGTCTACATTGTCTGTACTTTTTTCCCTTTTCCAATTGTATCGTTTAAATAATGCTGACACAAACGGTATGTAATCCATTGTATGTGCAATATATTGTTTATGTCTTCATTATTGAAATTTGCAATGGGAAAACGTTTTGAATTATATCATTGTCTCTGATTCATTCAGCTTGCCTCTGTATGTTTTCCTAGTTTGTTTTTACCTTTAGATGAATTTTTGTATATCATTTTTTTTATTTATAATTGTCTATGTGTGTCTACCTTGTCTGTACTTTGTTTTCCTTGTATTATTTTGACCTTTAGATGAATTTATATATCGTTTTTTCCTTTTCTAATTGTATCATTGAAATAATGCAGACATAAACAATGTAGACAAAATATGTGCAGTGTATTGTTTATTTCTGTATTATTGAAATTTACAATGGAAAAATATTCTGTTGATTTATATCATTGTCTATTGGCTTGTGGCTACCTCGTCTGTATTGTATGTTTTCCTAGTCTATTGTGACCTTTTGAAGAATTTATGTATTTTTTGTAGTTCTGTTGTTAAGTGTGTAGATTGTACGTTGATGAAAGCTTTCTAACTCCAGTGTTCATTTTCTCATTTGTGATTATGGTATTGTGACATGAAAAGTTTGATCTCTTTTTTGGATTGAAATGATGTGTCTGTACCTTATGCGGCCGTCTGTCTTGTACTTACAGCACCGTTCACCTGTATCACATTTCCGTTCCTGTTTGCGGTCATGTTTGGAGACATGGGCCATGGACTGATTATGTTTTTGTTTGCTCTGTATCTGGTGGTCAAGGAGAAACAGCTAGAGTCTAAAAAGGGCCAGAATGAGGTTAGTAAGATTTCTTCTTACAGAGCTGTAAACTCTGGTTGTTCATCCACATCTTGACTTTAGTCTTGTTCCAGTAACTGAGTGTTGCGTGAACATCAGTTTTACAGATCTGGTTTATGTACATGTAGACTCTTAGTTCCTTGTCTTTCAGGTAGATGCACTCTGACTTTGAAAAATGCCCGCAGTTAGTTTTGTCGAGTTTTGCCCAAAAATTTTGATTTTTCCACATGCGCACGCGCCTGCCAAGTTTTACACACACAAAATTGACATTCTCCAAAAGCTCAGAATTTAGCCTCAGACTATCATATCACATGTGAGTGGATAATTTAGACGACTATGTGGACATTTTAGAGCACATTGATAGCAGAAACACAGTTTTTTTTTTAAGGGGGGGGGGGGAGGGGTGTGTGCTGAGATTTTACTGTGTAATTTTCCCAGCAATTTCTAGTGTCCTTCTACAACACATTAGATTCCAAACAATTATTTTACACATGAATAGACACTCTAGTTGCAGTATAGGTAACTTAGATGTGTAATTGGATTTTTTGGAGCAAACTGGAGGCAAAAATGGAGATGGCCTAAAAATGTCCAATACTGGGATTGTTTCCATAGGCGTTCTGTCAAGTTTTGCTAAAAATTGACATTTTCCAAAAGTTTAAAATTTAGTCTCAGACTATCAGATCACACATGAATGTGTAAGGTAAGAGGGGAAGAAAATACGCTGCTGTTCATTCAATAGGACACACGGTGAGGGGGGAAAAAACTTGGAACAGTATAACAAGAAGTCTTTGCACTGGAGCCCACAAGGGCATAGAAATAAAGGAAGACCAAAAAACACATGGAGAATGGAGCTAAAGAGTGAAGTTAAAAGGATAGGGAGTTGCATTCAGTAGCAAAGGATGGAACGATGGAGTGAGTTGGTTTAGGGCCTATGCTCCAGCAGGGGACAAATGGCAGAAAAAGAAGAAGACACTCAATAAGTGCTGTGTCTTTTATTTCCTAGGACATACTTTTAAGGCTAAGTCATCCTGGCAACCAAGGTCACTTTTGAAAAAAAAAATTTGCCTTAATGGAGATTTGACCCTAGACCTTTGGGCAGCAGTATAATGTCCAGCCACTACACTGCCACAGCTCCCGTTTGATGTATAATGTTCGAAATGATTGCACATTGATCTTCTGTTTAATAGATCTTTGGAACATTCTTTGGTGGTCGATACATCATCTTGTTGATGGGAGCCTTCTCCGTCTACACAGGTTTTATCTACAATGATATTTTCTCCAAACCACTGAACCTGTTTGGCACAGGCTGGAGGATCCCAGAAAGGTAAGTTCCTTGCTGCATTGACTTGCTTGTTTCACAGGCTGCAGGATCCCAGAAAAGTAAGTTCCTTGCTGCATTGACTTGCTTGTTTCACAGGCTGCAGAATTCCAGAAAGGTAAGTTCCTTGCTGCATTGACTTGCTTGTTTCACAGGCTGCAGGATCCCAGAAAGGTAAGTTCCTTGCTGTATTGACTTGCTTGTTTCACAGGCTGCAGGATCCCAGAAAGGTAAGTTCCTCTCTGCATTGACTTGCTTGTTTCACAGGCTGCAGGATCCCAGAAAGGTAAGTTCCTTACTGCATTGACTTGCTTGTTTCACAGGCTGCAGGATCCCAGAAAGGTAAGTTCCTTGCTGCATTGACTTGCTTGTTTCACAGGCTGCAGGATCCCAGAAAGGTAAGTTCCTTGCTGCATTGACTTGCTTGTTTCACAGGCTGCAGGATCCCAGAAAGGTAAGTTCCTTGCTGCATTGACTTGCTTGTTTCACAGGCTGCAGGATCCCTGAAAGGTAAGTTCCTTGCTGCATTGACTTGCTTGTTTCACAGGCTGCAGGATCCCAGAAAGGTAGGTTCCTTGCTGCATTGACTTGCTTATTTCACAGGCTGCAGGATCCCAGAAAGGTAAGTTCCTTGCTGCATTGACTTGCTTATTTCACAGGCTGCAGGATCCCAGAAAGGTAAGTTCCTTGCTGCACTGACTTGCTTATTTCACAGGCTGCAGGATCCCAGAAAGGTAAGTTCCTTGCTGCATTGACTTGCTTATTTCACAGGCTGCAGGATCCCAGAAAGGTAAGTTCCTTGCTGCATTGACTTGCTTTTTTCACACACTGGAGGATCCCACAAAGGTAAGTTCCTTGCTGCATTGACTTGCTTATTTCACAGGCTGCAGGATCCCAGAAAGGTAAGTTCCTTGCTGCATTGACTTGCTTTTTTCACAGACTGGAGGATCCCAGAAAGGTAAGTTCCTTGCTGCATTGACTTGCTTATTTCACAGGCTGTGCGATATTCTTCTGCTTGTGGTCCCCTTTTTTTTTTTTTAAATCTGTACCGACAGACAAGTTATTGTGATAAAATGGACTGTGTTTTTAGGAGTCCCCTTATAGTTTCCATACAGCCCTGTGGGATTATCATCAATTTCCACTTCTTTCGTTAAGTCTTATGGGGAGTAACAGTTTGCAGTCCATTGCTTGATTGGCAGCAGTGGCTATTGTTATTCCGTGTCGATATAGAAGCTCTTTAAGATCATCAGTCCATCTCCTAGGGCGACCTCTTGCTTTCACATCAGACCTTTTCTTGTATAGCGCCTGCGTTGGTAGTTGTTCTGGCTGCATTCTTACTAGACAACCAAACTGATTGATCTTCTTGTGTTTCTGATATTATTTGCTACATGGTGTTGTTCCCACAGTCTGTCTAATAATGGTTTATAACTTTGTTATTAAGGGATATTATTATATTGTGGAATATTATAGTAATTAATGGCATTCTGAGACAAATGTAAATAATTTGGGTTGTTGACTTTCATCTACAGCAAGTACACTCCGTCAGTTTTAATGCAAACATCAAAGTTCAAATTGGATCCTAATGAAACTTTTCTGGGTGCCACATATGCCATGGGTGTTGATCCGGTGAGTCATTTTTTAAATTCTGGCTGTATTTTGTGTGTTTTTTTTTTTATGTCTGTATTTATTTGTTGTCTTTGTCTGTCCTTTTGTCTGTCTCCCTCCTTTCTTTATCTCCCTTCCTCTCTCTAATTCTCTGTCTGTCTGCCTCTCTCTCTCTCTCTCTCTCTCTCTCTCTCTCTATATATATATATATATATATATATATATATATATATATATATATATATATATATATATATATATATATATATATATATATGAGAGAGAGACACACACACACACATGCACACACAGAGAGAGAGAGAGAGAGAGATATCCCCCTTCTTCTCTCTACTTCTATTTTTCTCTCTCTGTATCTATCAGTCTATCTCTATTTTTCTCTCTCCTCCCCCTTTCTCTCCTCTCTTTCTTTCTCTCCTCTCTTTCTTTCTCTCTCTTTCTGTTTATTTTGTCTGTACAAACTTATTTGTCTCTGTCCTTTTGTGTCTGCATTCATTTATTTATAGAGTATTCACTATAAGAACATTTAACGCCATAAATGCCCGTCATTTGTGTTTTCTCACACAAAAATTACTGTCAAAAACAGAACACAGTTGCATTATAATGTCTTGTTTAGAATAACTATATAAAGGAAAAACAATCACATAGTTCATTCTAAAAAATCATCATCGTCATTCAGCATGGCCTTTACAGAACATCGCTCTCTTCATGGTGGGCCTGAAGGTCCCTCTTTCTCTAGTCAATTCTCCAGCCCTGTGAGCTTTCTCAGCCAATGCATCTTCAATGTCTTGTAACCACATTCACGGAGGTCGACCTCTGCATCATTTTCCAGAAACTGCACCCTTCATCACCATTCTCTCCAGACCACCGTGGCACTTGACATGTCAGAAATACCCTTTCAGGAGAGGATGTTGTTTACCAGCCAGTTCTCCTCTATGTTCAGATCATGCAGGATGTTGTTTACCAGCCAGTTCTCCTCTATGTTCAGATCATGCAGGATGTTGTTTACCAGCCAGTTCTCCTCTATGTTCAGGTCATGCAGGATGTTGTTTACCAGCCAGTTCTCCTCTATGTTCAGGTCATGCAGGATGTTGTTTACCAGTCAGTTCTCCTCTATGTTCAGATCATGCAGGATGTTGTTTACCAGCCAGTTCTCCTCTATGTTCAGATCATGCAGGATGTTGTTTACCAGCTAGTTCTCCTCTATGTTCAGATCATGCAGGATGTTGTTTACCAGCTAGTTCTCCTCTATGTTCAGGTCATGTAGGATGTTGTTTACCAGCCAGTTCTCCTCTATGTTCAGATCATGCAGGATGTTGTTTACCAGCTAGTTCTCCTCTATGTTCAGATCATGCAGGATGTTGTTTACCAGCCAGTTCTCCTCTATGTTCAGATCATGCAGGATGTTGTTTACCAGCTAGTTCTCCTCTATGTTCAGGTCATGTAGGATGTTGTTTACCAGCCAATTCTCCTCTATGTTCAGGTCATGCAGGATGTTGTTTACCAGCCAATTCTCCTCTATGTTCAGGTCATGCAGGATGTTGTTTACCAGCCAGTTCTCCTCTATGTTCAGGTCATGCAGGATGTTGTTTACCAGCCAGTTCTCCTCTATGTTCAGATCATGCAAGATGTTGTTTACCAGCCAGTTCTCCTCTATGTTCAGGTCATGCAGGATGTTGTTTACCAGCCAGTTCTCCTCTATGTTCAGGTCATGCAGGATGTTGTTTACCAGCCAGTTCTCCTCTATGTTCAGATCATGCAGGATGTTGTTTACCAGCTAGTTCTCCTCTATGTTCAGGTCATGCAGGATGTTGTTTACCAGCTAGTTCTCCTCTATGTTCAGGTCATGCAGGATGTTGTTTACCAGCCAGTTCTCCTCTATGTTCAGATCATGCAGGATGTTGTTTACCAGCCAGTTCTCCTCTATGTTCAGATCATGCAGGATGTTGTTTACCAGCTAGTTCTCCTCTATGTTCAGGTCATGCAGGATGTTGTTTACCAGCCAGTTCTCCTCTATGTTCAGGTCATGCAGGATGTTGTTTACCAGCTAGTTCTCCTCTATGTTCAGATCATGCAGGATGTTGTTTACCAGTCAGTTCTCCTCTATGTTCAGGTCATGCAGGATGTTGTTTACCAGTCAGTTCTCCTCTATGTTCAGGTCATGCAGGATGTTGTTTACCAGCCAATTCTCCTCTATGTTCAGGTCATGCAGGATGTTGTTTACCAGCCAGTTCTCCTCTATGTTCAGGTCATGCAGGATGTTGTTTACCAGTCAGTTCTCCTCTATGTTCAGGTCATGCAAGATGGTGATGGTTTTTCCTTCTTGGACCACAGTATTCTAAGAACCTTTCTGTTAAATTCAGTTCAAAAGCTTCAATTTTTTCTTCAAAAACTGAGCAAGAGTCCATGTCTCACATCCATAAGTTGCCACAGGAAAGATGCATGATCTCAAAGTTGTCTTTTTTAACCAGCTTGAGGGGCTATGCCATAGGTTCTTCTTGCTGTTTAGCTTCTGCATTGCTAAAGCAAGTCTTCTTTTGTGCAGTCGCCCTTATTAGTCTGTGACATTTTCATCAGTCTTTTTATTGGCAATTTCAGTACGCAGTTTCTGTGCTATATTCTTTATGGACATTATTTTAATTAATTTTTTCAGATTCAGAAATAGATTCTTCTCTTCGCCGTGCTTTTTGACATTCAGAATTAATTTTTCTAAGCCTTGTACACTGTTGGAAAGAAGAACTGTGTCTTCTATATATCTGAGTTCTAGATAGGTCTGCCAACAAGTTTAAGTGGATCGAAGCGTCACAGGCCTCTTCGCTAACTGTATTTTTCATAAATTCTAAAAATACAGACATAAAAATATATGCAAAGACACACAAAATATAGACATAGACATTTCTAAGTCAAGCCACTACAGTGGCTCCTGTAAAACGTTAGCCTTGCATATGTTCTAAATCAGTGTTTCCCAAACTTTTCTTAGTCATGGCACCTTTTTGCAATTACAATTTTTCCACGGCGCCCTAACCTAAGTAAAGGTATGACTATTCGTATGTATATCTTTGAATATTTCGTGGCGCCCCTGTGGAGAGGTCATGGCTTCCCCTGGGCGCCGTGGCGCGCAGTTTGGAAATCACTGTTCTAGATCATCGCACATAAGGTGAGGAAACCCCAAAAATGTTTGGCACCCATTTTACCGGGCGGGGTCGACCTTAGAGCTGTACTGGGTCAGAGAAAATAAAACAATCCTGTCTCTGCTAAGAATTTAACCCTGACCTCCCTATGAGGGTTTTGTGACCTGATTTCTTTTGGGGGGAGGGGGTATCAACTCACTGCTCACTAACAAGCATGTCATAGACAAGTGACTAACCAGGAGTTTGCTGAAATCAGATGTATTGAGCCGAAAGGCACAGATATCACAGACTAACTGTAACCCACAACACAAGCCTGCCAGCAAAAGAAGGAGAAGAACAATTACCACTGTTTTGGCAAACAAGAGCAAGTGTCATTACATTTGGTTTCAATTGCACATGTTTCAGATCTGGCAGTTGTCAAAGAACAAAATTGCCTTCACCAACTCTCTCAAGATGAAGATGTCCGTGATACTGGGGGTGTCTCAGATGTTCTTTGGGATAGCTCTGAGTTACCTCAACCATCGGTAAGTTGCTGTGACTGCCAGCATCTTCTCTTGACCTCAGTCTGTGATTAATTCACTGATTTTGTCAAATCTTATCATTATCCCCGAGGTCGATCAATTCAAATATCTGGGTAGTCATAACATCAGATAGAAGAATGCCGACACCCCCATAAGCGCTCCATCCCCATCTCCAGCAGCAAGTGTAGAGTTAAAATTCCAATGGTACCAGTAACTGTCTGATTGTATATCTGTCTTGCGTTTTCCCTGAGTGTCGAGTGCTGGCCAGATCCCCTTGTAACTCCTCGCAGTGCCATTCTCCTCAGACTGAATTGATCTATCTGTTCCTCTGCACTGTTCACTCGCTCCTAAAGGGCCCTCACAACATCCAGCTTGTCATACATCAGTTCACCACCAAATACTCAATACTCTGTGTTTGACTAAAACTAATATCACACTAGTATTAACTTGTTTTTACAGGATCACTTTAGCTGCTATAATTTGTGCTCAGTCATGAAAAACTGATGGAAAAGGAATAATGATTTTAAAAAAGTATTGTTTAAAATATTCTGAACATTCAGTGTAGTTTATTGTAGTTTTGCCCAATTATTTACTCCCACAATGTTCCCTCTCTCTCTTCAGACATTTCAAGAAGCCATTAAACATCATATTTGACTTCATCCCTATGATCATCTTCCTGTTCTGCATGTTTGGCTACCTAGTCATTTTGATCTTTGTCAAGTGGATCAAGTACCCACCCAGCCAGTCCCACATAGCACCAAGTCTGCTTATTGGTAAGTGAAGAGTTACTCTGAAAATCTTTCATCCATCCTTGTGTGTATTCTGAGGCCTTATTAGGGGAAAAAAAAAGGGGGGGGGGGGGAGACCCACTTCCCCCTACCAAGCATGTCATAAGAGTTGGCTAATTACGGATGTTTCCTTCGAAGTCGGGGTGTATCTGCCTGAGAGGCGAGGAATCAGTATTCTGCAAACAAATAAGCCAGATTTGTTAAATAAATGTGCAGGCAAAACTCAGGTTCTGGAACAAGACTAAAAGTCCAGAAGTGGACGAACAACCAGACCTTTCTGCCAGAGTTTACAGCCAGTGAACATGAAGAAGAAGAAGAATATCTGTTTTTGGTCTCTGTGGTTAGGCCTCACATTTTGAAGGTCATAGGTTCATATCATGGGACTGTCTTTTGAGTGCAATTTTTAATGCAGATACAATGGGATTGTTATTGCAGCTGCAAAGTTCATGCTTTGTGCAATGCTTTTCGGAGGTAGATAGCTATGCTGCAGAGAGAGCGAGAGAGAGAGACCACAACTAATTATCTTGAGAAAACCACGAACGACCCTTGAAACGTCAATTATGTTTCTCTTAATTTAGGTACTGTATTGGTCAGTGGGGTTTCAAATGCTCCAGTAATTATCTTTTTGTTAAGTCCATTTTTTCAACATATTTCTAACATTGGTATTCTCAGGTCTCATTGACATGTTCCTGTTCAACTATGGCAAGTATATGCCAGAGAGCGAGCATGACCCAAGAAAAGCAGACGAGAAAGTTTTTATGTACGGCGCACAGGTGAGAATATATATTATATTGGTCAATTCGGCTAGCGGAATTAAATGATCAAGGTTTTTCTTTGTTAACGGGTGAGGATAACTTTTGATTAGTGTCCAAAATTGATGCCAGGTATTATTCTTCATTTGTGTTGATGGTGGCAAGCCGTACAACATCCTGACTTGTCTGTGTTCATGGTGGCAAGCCGTACAACATCCTGACTTGTCTGTGTTCATGGTGGCAAGCTGTACAACATCCTGACTTGTCTGTGTTCATGGTGGCAAGCTGTAAAACATCCTGACTTGTCTGTGTTCATGGTGGCAAGCCGTACAACATCCTGACTTGTCTGTGTTCATGGTGGCAAGCAAAACAACATCCTGACTTGTCTGTGTTCATGGTGGCAAGCCGTACAACATCCTGACTTGTGTTCATGGTGGCAAGCCATACAACATCCTGACTTGTCTGTGTTCATGGTGGCAAGCCATACAACATCCTGACTTGTCTGTGTTCATGGTGGCAAGCCGTACAACATCCTGACTTGTGTTCATGGTGGCAAGCCGTACAACATCCTGACTTGTCTGTGTTCATGATGGCAAGCCGTACAACATCCTGACTTGTCTGTGTTCATGGTGGCAAGCCGTACAACATCCTGACTTGTGTTCATGGTGGCAAGCCGTACAACATCCTGACTTGTCTGTGTTCATGATGGCAAGCCGTACAACATCCTGACTTGTCTGTGTTCATGGTGGCCAGCCGTACAACATCCTGACTTGTCTGTGTTCATGGTGGCAAGCTGTACAACATCCTGACTTGTCTGTGTTCATGGTGGCAAGCTGTACAACATCCTGACTTGTCTGTGTTCATGGTGGCAAGCCGTACAACATCCTGACTTGTCTGTGTTCATGGTGGCAAGCCGTACAACATCCTGACTTGTCTGTGTTCATGGTGGCAAGCTGTAAAACATCCTGACTTGTCTGTGTTCATGGTGGCAAGCCATACAACATCCTGACTTGTCTGTGTTCATGGTGGCAAGCAAAACAACATCCTGACTTGTCTGTGTTCATGGTGGCAAGCCGTACAACATCCTGACTTGTCTGTGTTCATGGTGGCAAGCCGTACAACATCCTGACTTGTCTGTGTTCATGGTGGCAAGCCGTACAACATCCTGACTTGTCTGTGTTGATGGTGGCAAGCCGTACAACATCCTGACTTGTCTGTGTTGATGGTGGCAAGCCGTACAACATCCTGACTTGTCTGTGTTCATGGTGGCAAGCCGTACAACATCCTGACTTGTCTGTAGTCATGGCGGCAAGCCGTACAACATCCTGACTTGTCTGTGTTCATGGTGGCAAGCCGTACAACATCCCGACATGTCTGTGTTCATGGTGGCAAGCCATACAACATCCTGACTTGTCTGTGTTCATGGTGGCAAGCCATACAACATCCTGACTTGTCTTGTGTTCAAGGTGGCCAGACGAGCAAGAACCATAACCTTTGATCTCCCTCGACACCCAAAACTTTACAGAAGAAAGTAAGAGAAAAGAAAAAGCGTAGTCATTGGTGCACATTCTTATCAAGACAGTGGTCCTGGTTTAATCTCCAGCTGCCACAGTTATGTTTCGTGGTAAGGTCAGCAGTGAGAATAACTCAGCTTTAGATAGTGGGCACCAGTGAGATCAACTCAGCCTTAGTCATTGGGCATCAGTGAGATCAACTCAGCCTTAGACAGTGGGCACCACTGAGATCAACTTAGCCTTAGTCAATGGGCACCAGTGAGATCAACTCAGCCTTAGTCTGTGGACATCAGTGAGATCACCTCAGCCCTAGACAGTGGGCACCAGTGAGATCAACTCAGCTTTAGACAGTGGGCACCAGTGAGATCAACTCAGTCTCAGACAGTGGGCACCAGTGAGATCAACTCAGTCTTAGACAGTGGGCATCAGTGAGATCAACTCTGCCTTAGACAGTGGGCACCAGTGAGATCAACTCTGCCTCTTGTTGTTCTAGAACTGAGTTTGAAATACAGATTCGTTTTCCACATTTAGTATATTTGTATGCAGACTATTGGTTTCTCGCCTCTTAGGCAGATGCACTCTTGACTTCCAAGGAAACATCCCTGATTTCTTGCCTGCTACCCAGTGCTTGTTAATGAGGCATTGAGTCTATTTTCCCCCCACCCCCCACCCCCACCCCATAAGGAGGCCTCAGAACCCACACGAGGAGTGGTACTGCAAAAGCCAATCTGGCTGCCTGTCTTGTTTCTCAACACACCTGCATATCCTGGAGCAAAGTTCCTTCTTCTTCTTCTTCTTCTTCTTCTTCTTCTGCTTCTTCTTCTGCTTCTTCTTCTGCTTCTTCTTCTTCTTCTTCTTCTGCTTCTTCTTCTTCTTTTTCTTCTTCTTCTTCTTCTTCTTCTTATTTTTCTATTTCTTCTTCTTCTTCTTTTTCTTCTTCTTCTTCTTTTTCTATTTCTTCTTCTTCTTTTTCTTCACATTCACCGGCTGTAAACTCTGGCAGAAAGTTTTGAGTGTTCGTCCACCTCCGGATTTTAGTTTTGTTCCAGAACCTGAGTGTGTGTGTGCACATCTTTTTCACAGATATGGTTTATTTGTATGCACACTTGGTTCCTTGTCTCTCAGACAGATGTACTCTGAGTTGTAAGGAAGCTCCCAGTTAGTCAACCCCTACAACATGCTTGTTGGGGAGGCAGTGGGTCTGTGCTTGTTTGCCCCACAATGGGGCCCTGGAGCTTACCCTGAGAGAGCAAAGATCCAAAAGCCATCAACTTCTGGGACTCTTCTTAAAACGATGCTTGCCACTGTACATGGAACATGTCTTCTTCCATCTTTGCTATCATGTTTTGTGAGTTGCTCAGCATATGATTACCATGTAATTTGTTTGTTGTAGGAAGGGCTGCAGGATTTCTTTGTTGTTCTGGCCGTCCTCTGTGTTCCCTGGATGATGCTGGCCAAGCCTTTGTTCACATGGTATCAAGCCAAATATGGACAGGTATGTCTTTTCACATTCATTATAAATGTTTTAAAAATTGATTTGTTGTTTTCAACTTCTTTTTGGTTGTTACTGCTACATGCAGACTGCTTTTTTATTTTTAAACAGTATTTTTGTGTGCCCACCATAACTGTATAGTCTGTGTAGTAGTCCACCATAACTGTATAGTCTGTGTAGTAGTCCACCATAACTGTATAGTCTGTGTAGTAGTCCACCATAACTGTATAGAGTCTGTGTAGTAGTCTACCATAACTGTATAGAGTCTGTGTAGTAGTCCACCATAACTGTATAGAGTCTGTGTAGTAGTCCACCATAACTGTATAGAGTCTGTGTAGTAGTCCACCATAACTGTATAGAGTCTGTATAGTGGTCCACCATAACTGTATAGAGTCTGTGTAGTAGTCCACCATAACTGTATAGAGTCTGTGTAGTAGTCTACCATAACTGTATAGTCTGTGTAGTAGTCCACCATTACTGTATAGAGTCTGTATAGTAGTCCATCATAACTGTATAGAGTCTGTGTAGTAGTCCATCATAACTGTATAGAGTCTGTGTAGTAGTCCATCATAACTGTATAGAGTCTGTGTAGTAGTCCACCATAACTGTATAGAGTCTGTGTAGTAGTCCACCATAATTGTATAGAGTCTGTGTAGTAGTCTACCATAACTGTATAGTCTGTGTAGTAGTCCACCATAACTGTATAGAGTCTGTATAGTAGTCCACCATAACTGTATAGACTCTGTTTAGTAGTCCATCATAACTGAAAGCCTGTGTAGTACTGGGGCCTTTAGGGAATCGCAGAAAAGTAACACTTTTGGCACCTTTCCATCTTTCCAGACAATAGTGTTATATTTCAATATAACATATGGTGATTTTTATGGTAATATTTACCAGTAATGATAATGAATGGTGCTGATTTTGATGGTTTGTATGGTAATATTTACCAGTAATGATAACAATGGATGGTGCTGATTATGATGGTTTGTATGGTAATTTTTACCAGTAATGATAATGAATGGTGCTGATTTTGATGGTTTGTATGGTAATATTTACCAGTAATGATAACGGATGGTGCTGATTATGATGGTTTTCAGAATTCCTCCTCTAAGAGCGTGCCACATGATGATGAAGATGATGATGAAGAAGTCATGTTTTTAAATCTAAGCACTGCCAGACCTCCCGCTAACGGCTCTGCCATTCTCCCCACCACCTCTGCTACTAACAGCAGCCCTGGCATCACCCCGGAGGTGATCTTTTGTCTCTTGCACACTACTCTTGCTGCATGGGGTGGCCTACTAGCATGCACAGAGGATCATTTTTTTAACAGGCCCTTTTATTTTTATGGGATAAGGAAACTGGTGAATAGATGGTGAACTTTGGTATGTGAAGCTATAGGTGTACTAATCATGGTTTGTGCATCTTTTATTATTTTGTTTATCACACGCTCGACCGGTTAAGAATTTAGGTCTTTCATACAAGAGACTCCGGTTCAAATCCTCAGTAAGGTTAGAAATTTTTTTTTTTTGTATGTGGGCGGGTAAAAATAAAATTCTGACCTGTACAATCCATTGCGACAGCACCAGCCAAGTGGCCGTAAATCCTCAGGCTCAAAGACCCCCCCACTTTCCCCCCCCCCCTTTTTTTTAACACCGCAGAAGTGGTCAATGCAGGCAGTAATTGCACGTTAACTTTGTTTCTGCAGCATTTAAATAAATTATTGTGGTCCTGTTTATTATGTTTCCAAGCCCAGGATTAGAGTAACTTCCCTTGCTGTTCATGTCTCCTTAGGTCGCTGGACCTCTCCTATGTTGTGGGGGAGGTCATGTTGTCTTTATTGTGAACGGTTTAACCGTTGCCTCTTTTTCGTTTTCTCACCGTTCGCTTGGGTGATTATTTTCACGTTCTGCTACCTGGTTCGGGAGTATGTAAACGGCGATATTTTTCTATTCTAATGCTTTTTTTCTCTCGGGGGATAGCCACCGCTAATGAACATAAAAAATTCAAAAACCTCACAGTTTTGATAGCCAAGAATCGTCGTGCCTGCGGCGCTTCCCCCTACTTCTCACTTGTAAACAGGCGCCTGTAGCGCCCGAAATAGACTCACAACCTCCCACAAACATTACATACGTTGAGTGAACGCCAAACCAAGCCATATCATAACACCCTAGCAACATAGGAGAGGTCCAGTGATCTAAGGAGACATAAATGGCAAGGGAAGTTACTCTGATCCTGGGCCTGGAAACGTGAACAGGACCATTATTGTCATAAGTACAAAGGGTTAAAGTTGCAGCTGGGACAATGTTTTTTTTTTCTATCCTTTCTCTTCCATTGGAGCATTTGCCCTCAGCCTACTAGTGCCAAGAGCTTTATAGACTTGTTCATGATTGATTGAATGTTGTAGTCTACAGGTTGAGGTACCCAGTAACATCAAACCTCCTTACTTGATTCTTATGACATGACACGCTTGATCGCTTATTCTTTGCCTCCCTAATGGGTCCTCATGGACACAAGGCAGTGTCAGCTGCAGCAAATATTAACTGAGCTGCCCAAAGGGCATGTGCCTCTTCTGCTTCTGAAACACAATTATAATGGAAGCTGTCTTCAGCAGGGTTGAACATAGTCAAAGTCAGTTCCACTGCCCTTCCCCCTCCCTTTTTCCCCACCACCACCACCACCATCAAATTGATTATGAGGACTTCTGATTCTTCATTTTCCTTTTCCTTTTCTACTTCCCTTATCTGCCCCTATCCCTCACTGAAGTATAGACCCTCAACGAACTCTTGCCCAGCCATCCGATCTTTTCCATTTCATGCAGCTCCCTCTCGTCATTCACTACTCCATGAATTTTTACGTCTCCCTTTGTCTTTGTTACAGGTTGAGTTTCAGAAGAAGAAAGTTTTAGTTATAGAAGGTTTTCTTGATTTTTTTATCCTATCCAATACCAACATCTTTTTTGCAGCTTTTAATAATGCTTGATTACAAGCACTGGGTTTTTTCTTCTGAAAAATTACATTGGCTCTCAGGTCGACCCAGCCTTGAATGGGTACTGGGTGAAGTCCTGGTAATCTGGTAATCATAGTTTCAGCTTCATAGCAAACGGGTCACCCCATAGTTGCTCCGCTCCTGTGCCAACAAAAAAACACACATAGCTCACAGTGTCACACCATGCACTCAACTCAGAAGCTGGGCGACGAAACTATATCCTTCCAGTCTACAAATGGAGCAGAAATGCAACAGCCTCCGTCTGGCAGGAAAAAAAAAAGGTGGCCGTGCCTAGCGTCCATTTTGACCTGGGTGAAGTCCTGGAAAGTAAAGGTGGCTGGCATGATGTTGACCAAATCACCCCCTCAATGCCGATTGGTTTATAAAATATAGGTTTAGCCCATTTTGCCCAGTACGCCCAAAGGTGTGGAAAGGGTCCTTTAACTTACTATTTCCCACTTCAGCCTGGGAAGAATGGGTCATGACAAAGTAGCATCTCAAGTGAAGACAGTAGCTGTGTGCATTATGCTAAATATACCAGACAACTGGGTCTTGAATAAGGGCAACAACAGAAATGCATTAGAAAGGTTTTCAGTAAACAGTCTGTGGGAGAGAGTGTGTTCTTGAAGATTGCATTAATTAGGTTCGCTCCCTGGCAGAGCTGGACTTTTTTCAGAAATGACCTTGACTCCCAGGTCGTCCCAGCCTTAAGTGGGTACCAGGTGCAGACCCGGTAAGTAAAGGTGGCAGGCGTGATGCTGACCGCATCACCCATCTTGTGCCGATTGGTCTATAAAAATATAGGTCTTGCCCTATATGCCCTATACGTCTAATGGCGGGGAAAAAGGACCTTTACTTTTTTACTTACTTTTTTATTGTATTAATTTATTGGTGGAGGTTCAAGTCTTTGGCTGTTCCAATATAGATGCTTATAATTTACATTTGTGCATGTAAAGGTAAAAGGCACTCCTTTGGCCATTACTGTTGCAGCATTGTAATGTATTACTTCTAGTCTTTTGTATGTACTTGATTACTGCATCATCCCGGGAAGTGACCATCATCACTTCTGGCCAAAATAGCTCAGAGCCAGGTAACCGCTGATGCTCTGAAAAGTTTTTTTTTTTTTTTTTTGGGACTAGGAGTCCAAAGGTTCCATGGCCCAGCCACTGAGATGGGTGCTAGGTGCGACTTTGGAAGCTGCAGATTTCATGTGAAAAGTGTTGGGTTTTTCTGTTGTACCCGTGGCGTGTGGTTGACTGTACTAAAAAAGGCGGATGGGAATGGCATGGACTTTTGCGGGGGCAGTGCCAGCTTTCATGATTGACCATTCACGCCATTTGAGCAGCAGTTCTGGCATGGGACCATTAGTGTTTGAACATCTGACAGCTGCCTTATGCATTTTTACATTGAATGTGCAAGCTTTAAGATTTTGCTTTAACTGACAAGTTTTTCACTAGTTTTCAATGAAGGACATTTGTGTGATTTCCACTGGCACAAGAACACAGCAATTATGATGATGACCTGTCTACAGTGGTGTTGGAATGTCCACTGATTAACTAACTAGTGAAGTGACCACCTTCTGCCTTCTTAGTTTTCTTTCCCAGAATAGAAAGACTAGCACCCATTTATGTTCCATAGTGTAATGTTGTGAATTCCCGGGGAAACCCCAGAGAGTTCCCGATGGGGAGAAAAAGGTCGGAGGACCCGTAAGAGAGAAGAGAAAAACGGGAGAAGTGAGTCTCGTGTGTCTCATAGTGAATGAAGTGAGAGACACAAGAAAAGCATGAGACGTGAACGGAAGACGTGAACCGAGAGACTGAAGTAAGACAGTTGAAGTTCGGCCCTGACTGAGAGAGGACGCGTGAATGAACGCCTGAGAAGAATAAATGATTTGTGAAGTGAACGTTATATTTCAATAGGAGGACTGAATGTTTTTCCATACGTCGTAATGTCAGATATCAGAGTTCGTGAAGTATAGATGGATGGTTCGAGAGACGCTGATAAATTCCTGTAGTGTG